TTTTTTTTGTTTTCTAGACCACATTCAGTAGTACTACAAATACTACAACTGGGTGGCATCACTTCCATCACACAGGATTAAGAAGACACGTGCCAATTCTGTCTTAGTTATTTGCACTCTCTCTTGTTAAAAAAGTTCTATTATTCTTAGTCTCCATTGGCATGATTCTTAAGCATTTGTTCAAGTGCATGTCCTGGCACAGTCAGGGAAAACTTGATGGGGATAAAGGAAGTGGAGCAGGTATCTATTTCCATTTAGTTTAGTGATAGCACTAAGTAGAAAGGAGAAGTCTATGACATTAACATCAAAAATACATTTTTACAGTTTTGCATTTTATATGTTCTATMTAATTTAGATTTTGTTTTTGTCTTTATTTTGTTTATTTTGGTAAGATACCCCGTTAGAGTCACACAAATTCATAGGTATCTCCTCYCTTTAACTTTCGTTGCAGATTCTCAGTTGGTTTGTGCAGATCTCCTTGGGCTTGAAGCATATTCACGATAAGAAGATTTTACACAGAGATGTAAAAGCGCAGGTARTAAAACTGGTACTGGAGAGAGGATTATTTTGTCCTGTGAAAAATATGTTTGAGGAGCTCTGCCAACTTTCATTTCCGCCTACCACTTTCGGTTTTATTTGCAGAATGTTTTTCTTAGCAATAATGGAAAGRTAGCGAAGCTTGGGGACTTTGGCATAGCAAGACAGCTGAACAGGTAGGCATGGTTTTTGCTTAGTCTGTGRCCTGCACCAAACAGGTCTGTTTGTGAATGTTCAAAATGCAGCCTGAACATGCAAAATGTTTGTGGATTGTGCTTGCTCAAGGAGTGTGGGGTACAAAGGGTCTGACAMTACATTTTCTCCTATTTTCTTAAAACATGCCATCCTGCATGGATCACAGATGTACCTAGCCTAGTAACTGAACTTCTGCCACGTATAGGACATAGGGTRAAGAAGCTACTGGTTTTTCTATTCTCTGTGGAACTGACATAAAGAGGTTCTGGAGGTGCAGTTCCTCCTCATGCAGCTGTCGGTAATAACTTCTGTTTCCTCATAAAAACAAAAGTGAAGAGCATTAAAAACTGAAGAAAGAGTTTAAGAATAGAGTTTGTRCAGATGTTCTTTGTGTGTCYTCCAAGACTGAATCTATGTTAWTTTTTTARAAAGAGCCGGAATGACAACCTGGGYCTGAGAGCATGGCATGGCTGGGCTTGCATCTGTATTGTTCTCCCAAAAAGGGGGGCCTTATGTGGAATGACTCTGGGGACAAGGTTGCCCTATCCTGTGTAGTGGCCAGGTGTGGCCAAAACACGCCAGGGAGCATGTTAACAACAGGAAAATGCTTATATTTTGTCTCTTTTTGTACTTTTTGATTGTCCTTGACAGAACCCAACTCTCAGCATGTAAATTACTAATGCCCAAAGTGCTTTCTTTCAGCAGTGTTCTGGGGATARTTGCTGTAAGGATTGCTGCTACTCAGCAGAAGAATACATAGCAGACAGGAAGTAGGCATCAAAACTTGAATGTCCAAGTATAGACATTTTAAAAAGTATTTAAGGGCTTATACAACAATATAATTGGAGCTTGATTTTGTTTTTCTTCATGTAACTACTGAATTCAGTTTCTGTGGGGAGTTGACACTGTCAGGACACCATGTGTCCACCAAAGCTGCTCTGTCACTCCCCTTCTCAGCTGGACAGAGGAGAGAAGCTATAATGAAARGCAATGGGTTGAGATAAGGGCAGGGAGTTCTTGTGCTTTCTGTTGAAGTACAAACACTCCCCACTATTAAAATAKGGGGTCATTTTTACACAGAACTGGGAAATACTGTAGGTTTTCATGGGATGTTCCATTTTCAGCTGTTTGGAGAGGAGAAATTATGTTCCCCACAGGCTTTTAACCTGGGGCAGAGAAGTCTCTAGGTCAACTTTGTTTACAAACGTTTTCAGTGTGTAGGCCTTTTTGTTCACTGTGTTTCTTTAGCACTACAGAGTTTGCCCACACCTGTGTAGGGACCCCGTATTACCTTTCACCTGAGATATGTGAAAATCGACCTTACAACAACAAAACGTAAGTCTGTGTCTTTCCTTCATATGTGCTCGAGGACATGCAGGCATGAAAGGACTCAGCTCATGACTATCATGGTTTAAATTAGTATTTGTGTGGGGCACCAGGAATTTCTCTTGGTCACCCTTCRTGAAGTTTTGTATTATTGTGTGCAATAATTAGGTGCATCATCATATACAGCAACCATTTTATACTATACAACAATGTCAGTAGYATTGGACTTGCAGTGTCCAAAATAGAGAAATCATGACTTTGCTGTGATTAATCCACAGACTTAACRTAATTAAAATTTTTGGCTTTACAAAAATACTTCTATTTTAAACTCTCTATTAATACTCCTTGTTAGTAGTGGTGGGAAATGTAAACCAGTAWTTTTCCCTTTGCTTTATCTGCTTCTCCATCAATTACTAAGTTTATCTTGTTTCCAAGATGCAATAACTAATACAGTTTACTGTTCCAAGTTCATGAATTTTTGATACACTCATTTATAATTTATAAAAATACACTAAAATGAAAGCTGCTAGTTCGGCTGCTTTGRAGATTTGCAGTAGCCACTTGCAGGAAAGACACATTAGATTGAAGCTTACCACAAAATACCAGACAAGAAACACTGCAAAGTCAAGAGGTGAGTGGGCCTAGACCCCTTCCTCTGCATGGGGGATATCATGGACACCAAATGTTCTGGAGCCCATAGTAGCATCTCAGTTCTGACGTGCTATTCAGACAAGTTTATTCCCTTATTGTCTCCTTAACTATGCAGTCAGCTTTGTCCTTCATTCTGCTAGAAATATTAAGCAGACGTTCTGTATCATGTGCCTTTTCCAATTACGATAACACCTAATTAGATACCATGGTAACATTGGTGCTGCAACTAAAAATACTTCTAGTTGTTCTTTTTAGTGTGTCTTAAGAAAAAATAAAACTTGCACCAGTATTAATCTGTGACAGAATAATGGTAATAAATTGGGAGCTGAGAAGAGGTACTGATTATATGGATGAAAATGTTGCAGGCTTTTCACTGAAACTTTAATTATTTCTTATTCACAGAGATATTTGGTCTCTTGGCTGTGTGCTTTATGAGCTGTGTGCATTAAAACATCCAGTAAGTACTGTACAATCAGGTCACTATTTTATCAGAAAATACAGTGGTTGCCTTGCAAAGCCTGTAGTAATAACRGTATTCTCAGTCAGCTATTGGAATTATTTTCCTCTTATTTATTGATATCAAAGAACAACTGGTAGCGTTTAACTCTTCATATTGTATCTGTTTTGTGCTTAAAAATTAAATGTATTATGTAGTATTCCTGTAACTTATATATATATATATGCATGTGTGTATACATAGTTTGAACATATATTTACTCTTTTAAAAGAGTAAATATATATTTTTCAAGACAGATGAACAATGGAAAGAATTAAAGCCAGACTTCAAGGTTAAGCTTAGGTATATAATTTTACTMATTTCTGTTTGAAAATATCAATCTATACTTACTCAAGTTCTTAAAACCCACATTCCCCCAGCAAGTGGTTTGAGTCCCCAGAAGCATTTTCCTAAAGGTTTTATTTTGTTTGAAAGCACGTTAATGTCAGAAAATAACTGAGATAGCATCTTCAGGAAGTTGTGTTGTCCTCAGCCTGGTCTGAGCCTCAGGTAATCCTCAGCTTGTGACTATTACAGGGGGAAGGGAACATAGCAGACACTAATCTTGACAACAGGAAAAAGATTAGATTCCTGGGACCAGCAGATGTTGACTTTTTGCTGAGGCTGAATGTGGGAGAAGGTAGAGCAGCACTAAYAGGGAGAGCAATTGTGCTGAGGATAGGGAGATACTGCTGGGGAAAACTGCTGATTTCACGAAGTGACAAAACATGAGATATTATTTTGTATGAATAGTAGTTTTGTTATTATGTATTGCTGCACACTGCAACTCAGTGCAGATGTAGACAGGAAATATAAGTGAAGCTAAGGTAAATTTCAATTCTACCACCTTCAAAATAGCCACATAAATAAAAGAATGATTTTAGAAAGAACTTGCTTTTTTTTTTTATTTTTTTTGCCTAAGACCCTAAGACCCTAACCTATTATTTTTTTATTATTATTATTATTATTATTATTATTATTATTATTATTATTATTATTATTATTAACCCAAACTTTATTGATACTGGCTTCTTAAGAGAACTATGAACTGAGAGGACTGAAGTGGAAGTGTTCAAGACTAGGTTTGATAGGACTTTGAGCAGCCTGGTCTAACAGAAGGTGTCCTTGTCCATGGCAAGGAGGTGTCTTCCAATTCAAACCATTCTGTGACTGAGTCAACAAGTTCCTTTTCTCAAGCTGGCCTGTCTAGCCCATCATTCTGAACCAGCAGTACTTACTGTCTTCTTTTTATTGTTCTCCTTAATTAAGTTTSAAGGCAATAGTTTGCATGAACTGGTGTTGAAGATTTGCAGAGGACGTTTTCAACCCGTGTCTCCTAACTACTCCTATGATCTGAGGATATTAATTTCCCAGTTATTTAAAATACCTCCGAGAGATAGACCATCCATCAATTCTATTCTAAGAAAGCCCTTCTTGCAGAAATTTGTTCTCAGGTATTTGCCCCCTGAGGTAAGTGACTGTACTGTTGCTTGCTGAGAGAAAATGTATATCACAGTAGTATAAACAGTTATAGGAGATACCTTTTTTCCTAATAGGTAGCACAGGAAGAACTCAATCACACTGTGATACACAGGAAAAGGCCTTCAGCTTCCCAATCTGGAACCAAGCAAATACAAGGTAATGATAATAATATTACTTATCATTAGTTCTGCAATAACATTASTTAGTTATGATACAATTGCTGGCAGTAACTTTCTCCAACAGTTCTTTACTGCACATTTGGGTAAAGAGTTTCACCAAAGTTAAATAGAGGAGAGAACTGCGAGAGCAGAACCATTTACCCAGACAGGGCACTGCTGTCCTGTTCAGGGAGAGACCACTTTAGGACTTGCTCGTTAACTATGTTTGTCTAGAAGGGTTGCCATAGGAAAGTGCAGAAATATTAATCTTTGTTCTTTAAAAAATAGTATTTCCAAAAGTGAGAGGCTTTGGTTTAGTTTAGGTCTGTCACATGAAAAGCGTCCTTACTATGTGAAAAAATGCATCAATCTTTCAAAACATGCTCCATAGTATTTTATAAAACAGTAAAAATGTATTTTTCAAAATTCTAACTCACTTAGAAACTACTTAATCCAAAGGATACTGCTTTTCAGTACTGCAGCTAAGATATTTGCAAAATAATGACTGACCACACTGGAATGGTCTGTACTTGTATTCTCCTACATAGGACACTGATAAGGTAGATTTTTCACCTTTCAGCCTTTCTTTTCAAATTTCACAAGTACTACAAGATTGCCTAGTGATTTGTAGAGTATGGAGGTCTGGCTTTAGAAAGGGAGTGCCTAGGCAGGTAGACAGCTAGAGCCTGTGAATCAGACCTCCTGCATTGTGTTCTTGGTACTAGCATGAAATCAACATTAGTTTAGAAGGGTCTCCCTCTTATTCRGTGTGTTTTGTGAAACTAATCAATMAGATCCTCTTTMTATGAATGTGTCAAATCATGTTTTCAAAAACATGCCATTCTCAGAATGAAAACCAGAACACCTGGGAGGTGTGAAGTATGGTGATGATGGTGAAAGGACGTAAGGAATGTTAATTAGCATAACCTGTCAGTGTTAGGTGTGGGCACCCTGCTTTGGTTTGMGACCACATGATCATTAATCACATAGAGAGCACAGAATGTAATTTTTTAATCTCTTACTGTTAAAAAGCATATAAGCTTCAGAAAGAAATAGTCCAGGATCCAGTTTCTCCAGAATCTGGAATGGTGCTGCCTGTCAAGAAAAAAGATTTATTTCAAAGAAATGAATGGAAACCTCCTTTGAGAGGACAACAGCCAATTATTCAGGTACTGTGTGTCTGCAATATTTATATTTATATTTATATTTATATTTATATTTATATTTATATTTATATTTATATTTATATTTATATTTATATTTATATTTATATTCTTGCACATACATATATAATCATCTTCAGAATTTTGTATCTATTTATATTTATTTATATCTATTTATATCTATAATCTTCAGAAAACAAATACCTGCACTTAAAAAAGATACTTTAAAAGGCTTAAGACATTAGATGTATGTTTAGCTTAATCTCTACCCTAAGTCAATAGAGGCAGTTAAACATAACTGAGTCCTCAGAAGAGATATTTTGAAAGCCTAAGTGGGAAACACTGGATACGGGCTGCTTTGTTATGCTCCTTTGTAACAAAGGGATTCAGGCACACTTTGCATTTATGTTTGCACAAAGCCAAATAAGCTCTGGGTTTGCTTTTTTTGCTGGAGAAGCAAAAGCACTGATCCTGTTGCTTTAGCCCTTCTGATGGCTCATTCATGGGCAAAATCACTGGCACTCACTGCCATTGCCTCAGATACTTACTACTGACAGCCTGCGCCCRAATGCAAGCCCAGTTATCACAACAACCTTTTCTCTCACTTCTTTTCCACCTCCTGCTTTCCTCAGGCAGAGTACCAGCTGTATGTTATGTCCAGCCTCTTATTTTGCATCACTGCACATGTTTATCTTCAAGCGCAGGTAGCAGTGCCTTGAATGCTGGTGAACATAAGCAAAGCAAGTTTAGGGTCTGGCAGCCCTCAGATCCGCACACTGCAGTTACAGTACCGTAACTGATGATAGGGAACAAACACGGAGTTCCCAGAACTGCATCCATCACACAATCACACCAACAACGGATCATACTGGCCCCATGCAGACTATAGGACTTAATTTTCCTTATAGTTATAGTTGTGCCAATGCAAATCCAGAGATGGATTAAGCTAGAATGTAGTTTCCTTTCACTGTGCACTGCTATAATCAAAGGCAGAATTTTGTCCGCAGTGTTTTGACCTATGCTGGGAACGTTTCCACATTCTTTCACCATCAAAATAAAGCAAATAATGTGCAGGGTTTCAGGGGCAGTGTCATACTGAAGGTGTGACATTGAAGGTGTTGCTTCAGAATTCACAGGATCACAGGATGGTTGAGGTTGGAAAGATTTCTGGACRTCACCTTGTCCACACCCCTGCTCAAACAGGGTCAYCTAGATCCAGTTGTYGAGRACTATGTCCAGTTGGCTTGCTGAATATCTCCAAAAGAGGCGACTCTAAATCCTATTTGGGCAACCTGTATCCCATCCCCAGGCACCCTCCCCCATGGTGAATAAAATGTTTTCTGTTGYTCAGAGSGAACCTTCTGTGTTTCAATTTGTGCCCATTGCCTCTGGTTCTGTCACTGGGTACYGGTGGAAAGGGTCTGGGCTTCACCCTCTTTGCCCCTTCCCTTTATGTAGCTGAAACCACTGATAAGATTCCACCTTCAGGCTAAACAGCCTGAGCTCTTTCAGCCTTTCCTCATAGGAGAAATGCTCCAGGCCTTTCACTGGACTTTTCCCAGCATATAACTGTCTCTTTTGTTCTGAAAAGCTCAGAATTAGAGACAGCACTTCATGGGTGGCCTCACAATGCTGAGCAGTGCAAAAAGATTACCGCCCTTGACCTGCTGGGAATACTTTTACTAGTGCAAGCCTGGATGTCATTCACCTCTTCGGCTAGGGCACATTGCTGGCTAATGGTCAACTTGTTGTCCACCATGTCCTCCCTTCTTCTCTGCTGAGCTGCTTCCCAGTTGGATGGCTACYGGCATGTACTGGTGCAGAGTGTAGGACTTTGCACTTCCATGGCTGAAATCCATGCAGTTYCTGTCATCCCATYTCTCCAGCCCTTCGTGGTCCCTMTGGATGGCAGCACAACCCTCTGGTGTATCAGCCACTCCTCCCAGTTTGTGYTATCAGCAAACTTGCTGAGRGTGTGCTCTGYTCCAGTCTCTCCTGTGATCTYGTTAGTGAAGATGTTGAACTCCAGTCACTGGCCATCAGCTACACTTTGCACTATGATCATTTTTCAACCAATTTCACTACTTGCTCATCCAGCCCTCAATTCATTGGCTTCTCGACGAGGATCATATGGCAGGCAGTGACAAAAGCCTCCATGAGGGCAGTTGCCTGATAGGAAATATACCTGTGCTCCTATCTTGTCTATCAAGCCAGGCATGTCACTGTAGAATATTAGTGAGTTGGTCAAGCCTGGCTTCCTGGCGCCTATTTAACTTGCCACTTCTCAGGCCTCTGACATTTATTTCGACAGTCTGATTTGTTCTCCCTRCTGCTTGGGATTGCCATACTTCTGGATACTGTAAAACCTGCTTCAATGAGTAACAAGAGCTTACTTCTTCTTTTGGAACTTTACTGACAGTTGTAAATTTTCTTCTAACACMGATAAGAATTTAAATTCTACTGTAATCTGGACTGCACCACAGGTACATGAGCCGATTTTCAATGTGTCTAAGGAAAATGAGGAGGAATAGTTAATGTATTTGCCATCTAATACTGATGCATTTACATTTATGAAGGAAAGTAAGCAAAATTTARCATTTTCCTCATGCACCATATAATCTCCCACAATGGAAAAGTTTGTAGATGTCTGACCACATTTGAATCATGCAGTGGCAGCTAGGTGATCATCTCTCCATTGTTCTTGTGAGAAATGGGAACGACAGTCTTGTCACAAAGGAGAAATACAGAAATGTTTCATCACAGTAATGCCTTTGAGAAATGAAAGCCCAACTCCCACATGCACATAAGCAAAAGAATGTGAAATGAAGCAGCGCAGTGCTCCCCTGAAAGCATCCATCAATGCCGTATTGTCCAAAACTACATCCCAGGTTCCCCTTGCTATCACATGTCAAAATGAGACTCTCCTGGAAGTAATTCAGTGCTTTAGGCTCCAGAACAATGAAGTGACTCTAGGGCAATGACACTACAGTGTATGAAGCCCCCTGCTGATTCACTTGCACAGCAGTGTGGGCTGCTGCTTAATGACAGGAACTGATRGAAACAGGGGAAAAGGAAAAGGCARKGGTGAGATCACATAAGCCCTGAGAAGTTTGGAAGTTTCTGGCTTATATGTGAAAGGATTTGGAAAACTTAGACTAACTATACTGTAGACAGTCTGTATTACCATGCAACACAGATTGGGGAGAAGTACAGGAGGTTAATTCAAACTTGTACTGATATAAATGAGAACATGTAAAATAATATCCTTTACTATATTTTCATCCACAGACCTCCAGATTTAGCATGGCAGAAAGGCCAGAAAGCCTTAGAGTGTGTGGCAACTATGAYCATTACTATGAAAAGCTTGACAACTTGCAGAGGAAACCTAATGCACATTATGAGCTCTCTCATACCAGCCAAAGAGATGAAGAATACTGTCAACTAAAAGGACGAGTTGCATCTCCACCTCCACCATCTGACTGGTAATCTATTTTCACTCTATTCATTAGCTGGGTGTCTTATGTATTTTGAGCTATCRATCAGACTCCCTGAGTAGGTAACACTGGACATAGCTCATTTAGTAGGATTTTTTTCTCTGCTTCGTCTTTGATAATTTTTTAATGTAATTTTGTTATACAACAACATAATTCCTTTTCCTCTTTGTCCAGAAATTCCTTCTGAATTGTCCTGGCGTTTGACATTTCATGGTCAAAATGTCTCCCAAGTGTCAGCCCATTCTTTCACTGGATAAATAGTAAAACATAGTCTTTTTGTAGAATCTCTGATTGTATCTAGAAYAAACACTGTCTTTCCTTCACACCAGGATGAGAATAACACAAAGATCACAAACAGCTCTGCAGTGAAGGGAACAGAGAGAGGCAGGCCATGAAAGTGTTTTTTTTTTTCCATGCCAAGCTTGTATTTCTGTTTCAGATATAAAGACCCTTTCTCTAGCAGTTTATTTACTTCAAAGCCTTTCTGTTACAAAGTAGAGGTATAACCTTAGRAGATTTCCTGTCCATTCTGTGACTGGACATTTTAGGTGTGGATGAACTTTGAAAATGTTGAGAAAGGAATTTTAAATACAGCCTACTTCCAAAGCTTCCCTTTAAGGTTGACAGAATCATCAATTTTCATTCAACAATAGCATTGTTTAAAATGTTTCAGTTATGGATCTTCATATTTAGAACATCTTTCCTGACCTGAATTTCTGGTGTCTTATTTAAGGACAGAGTCAATTCAGTTTGGCTCCCTGCAGCACAAGTGGATTCTGGAGGTAGGAAATGAAATAAATAGGAAACAGGGAGCTTACAAGTGAGTCCTGGTTATTTTATACCAAAAAGCAAAGTAAAAGTTCAGAATCTACACAAAGTTGGACTGGTAGAATTACGCACAGAGGAAAAAGACAGTAAAGAGGTTGCTGAATACACAATCTCCATTCTGACAATTTGCACTCATTTTCAGGATCAGGGAAATCAATTTTACTTTAATTAACACTGTCAATTTCATTTAGCAAATAAAAGATGGGAAAGGGCTTTGCCACAYTCTTCAGAAGGCTTAAGTAACTGAAGTAATAGGAAAGGGAATGCCTAAAAAGAATATATTTTCTTATTTTACTGTTGTGCCATATTTATACATATTTTATCCATATTTATATATTCATGTAGTACTAAGAAAACTCTTTTTGTCATGTGGGGTAGAACCTATAGAGAATTATTTGTGCAGAAGGTAGCAGAGTCTGTGAAATAAAATATAGTRTATGTACATCACTTTCTTCTCTCAGGACTGCAGAATTTCTTCAAAGGCGATTTGAAGCCCAGCAGTACAAGATTAAAGTGGAGAAACAGATGGTAGGTAAATCACAGAATGACAGAATAAAATCTTTAAAAGAAGGAGAATGAAAAGCCAAAGAGAATTTGATGCCTTTCTGACAGCAAACTGTAACACTGTTGGGTAGAAGGTTTTACTCCAGGAAATGCCCTGTTCTGCTCTGCAATGTTTATCCGGAGGTTTTATTTATTCACACAAAACTGTAACAATGTAAATTTTTACTGTGACTTTTTCCTCTAAAAATGTACACTTGCCTTACTGCATTCTTCAGTGGAACAGGGAGAATGAGCACTGAAAGAGAGGATTCTAAATGAAAATTCCTTTGCTCTGGGATACTTTTGTACATCCATAGGGACTRAGACCATCCTCTGCTGACCCATATTGTGACCAAATACAGCAGCAGGAAATAAAGGAAAAGCATCTCAAAAAACATCAGCAAAACGTGTCTAGAAAGAATGAAATGAAAGAACAGGTAAATTAAATCTCTAATTGCCTAAAACTTCCTATACTCCTTGACATTAGCATTGACATAAGAAGTCTTTTGATCAGATTCTCTTTTCCATCATTGATTCTTTTCCATTCTTTTCCCATTTTTTTAATAGAGAAGGAATGTAATTTTCTAGTTTTRTTTTTGGGTGACAGACAAAACAAACTGATACTTCTATCTTATATGAATGTATATAAATAAATTTAATCTTTCTCTCTTTTGTTTATTAAAAACATATTCTACCTACTGTTTTTAATAGGAGTATTTGAAACAATTGCAGAAAATTCGGGAAGAATACCACAGTGATATAAAAGAATTCAGATTTAGAGCAGGAATACTCCAGGTAACAAAGCTCAAACATACAGGTAGTCATATTTACTTTTTTATTATTAAAGAATACTTTATTAGGAATTGAAATGAACATTTTTTAAAAACATCTTCTAGGAGAACCAGAAAATACAAGATAAAACCTACCTYGTGAAGCAAGGGAAAGCTGAGCTCCAGTCTGAAAACAAAGATACRCCAGGAGCAGGGGAAGAAACACTCCAGGTATTGATACCGCCTTCACCTAAACAGATCTTTCTGAGCGAGTCCCACATGGTCTTTRATTCATTCTCTGCCATGGGTTTTAGGTTTCCACTAAAATCTTGATTTTAATCACTTCCAAATCTTTCCAGAATGAAATGAATCTCAGTCGTCTTGCATGTGATCATAAAAGATGTATTATTTATTGACACAGTACTGCATCTTTCAAACATCGGTTTTTCAAAAATCAGAGGCTTGCACTTTATGCAAAAATGTCTGKTTTAATTTTTGCCAGATAAGCCAGTCTTACAGATCTAGGCACAAGGAAATTCATGACTGTATTTGCTWCTAAAACAAATGTCTGTCTTTATGAGGTATACACATATTGTGGTTACAAAGAGTGTAATTCAAACTGGTTTTTTTTTTCTCTCCTTCCAGGAAATGGAGGAAAACTTTAAACAAGTCAGACTCCAGGATAGGCAAGACCAAACAATATTAGAAAAGAAACACAACACAAAAGTATCCATCTCTACTGTTGTATTTTATTTTCCATTTTCTTATTATGTCTGTATATTTCAAATTACTGTGTTATTATGGTAGCTCTGGAACTGAAGTTATTTGAGAGTTAATTAAGAGTGCKAGTTTTCTGTTTGTTAAAAGTTTGTATCAGAAGAAAATAAATGAGTTTTTTGATAATTTTAAGAGGATTATATTTAAGGAAGTCTATTTTTGTCTGTTGTGTTCAACTTTGATCTTGTTAAATAGAAGAAAAATGTTGTTAAATGGAAGTTACTTTCAACAGAAGAGTAATTTTCAAATTTGTAGTTCCATATAATCTGTATAGTTTTAAATGATTTTATTTAATAAAATAAATTACTAACCTGTTAACTTTCTTTAGGGAGGAGTAAAATTTGAAATTAATTTAGATGTATGTTTTCCTGAAGAAGAGAGCATTCCAGAAGCAGAGGTATGTTGTTATGTTTAAAAACATTTACATTAGTAATCTGAAACCATGACAGCTCCATAATCTGAGATTTGTTTCCATGACCATCATCCTCTACCTTTGTTATAAGGAAGCTTCTACTGAGAATTTGTTGGCATGTTRCCTATGTCTGACCTTCTTCAAGAGGATAATTGCTTGGAAGAAAATTGATACCTGGGTCAATCTTTCACATGGTAAAATTTGCAGGAGTGCAAATATTTAAATTTCCTAAACTGGGTTCAAGAGGAAGAATTTACCTCAAAACTGAGTTAGGCTACAAAYGYCAAATTTGATTTGTAAATTGCTTTWGTACATTTCTGTTTCTTTTCACTAGTATTGTACCACAAAGCAAGAATAACTACGGACAACATTATGTATTTTCATTTAGTAAAATTATATATGTGGCTGATCAACATTTAATAGCTACCTGTTAAGATTTTTATCAGTATATTAGAATTAAAAAAAAATTCCAAACAGCAACAAAGACAATAAAATTTATTTMTAGTATATATGTTTTAATTTATAAATCACTATTTTGTCATTCTGTTGTTTCACATCTCTGTGAAACAACATGCAGCCCTCTGATACACAAATCACAATGTGGCTTCTGAGTCCTGCTGCTTCACYTTTTGTTACACAATTTTCCTGTGCACACAAGGGGTTGGCTGGCAAACACAGTAAAATGAGAAKTGATTAGCTATTGTACCATATTTGTTTTTTGTTTTCAGAGTAACCTATTGTTTTTTCAGGCACTAGATAAACTCAGTGAGACTTTAACTTKTGTGGATGGTGAGAACCTTAGGGAGAAATTGGCAGAGAAATTTCAAATTTGTGAAAATCATGTGGACAGARCTTTGGAAGAACTATCTGGCTACCAAACAGGTATTTACTGGGGAAATGCAATGCTGAGTATTAATCTTGAAAATTACAAAGGCRTTAGGTAAATTCAGTAATTCTAGGCTATAGCAAATTTATCTCATGAGCTCTTTCTTTACATCACATAATATTACAATGACATGGAATTATACTTTATAAAAAAATCCTAAGAACTTTAYCTCTTTTTCTTCCCTATAGAATCTAATGCCATACCTGATACAAAAAAACCCAGAAAACATTGGCAAGCTGGAGCTCCTCAGACACTACTGAATTTTTTAGCTGATGCTGATGTCACATCTGCATGTCCTACTATAGCTGGAAATGAACTTGGTGAGAAAATTTTGGCTTTCAGTGAAAGCAGTGAGCACCTAAGATTCAGCCCACCTGAACTTATCCGTACCAGAATGGTCACATGATCTGTCAGGCTTTTAATTGCAGGACTTTATAACATCWGAGGTTATTGTACATGTTAAGCCACAGAGTACAGTTGTCACTTTCCCCTCTGCAGACAAGTACCTCCAGTGACTGGTTTTTGCAAACAAGGAGCTCTTCCAGCATTCCAGCATGCTCCCAACAGCCCAGATAGACAAAAAATAACCGGAAGAGTTTGCATGAATAGTGCAGACAAGGCATCCTTTCTTTTAATACACCATCTTTTGTTCATTCTGCCTTGGATGAAAGACCACAGGGTACAAAAGAAACAGGAACTGTACTGAAGCTCTTTCAGCCCCAAGGAGCCCACAGCTTTCAGAGTAAGGACTGATCAATGAAGCTGTAGCTGTCTATTCCAGGCTTAATAAAAAGTTACTTAGGCATTAAAACGGTGTTACACATTTTTAATGATGAGTAGTCCAGACTATTTTCTCCCTGTCCATCAGATAAGGCAATTAAAAAAAAAATAGGAGTATTCTATACAGGAAAAATAAATAGATTCCAGAATTAAACAAAAGGAAGAAATCAGTGTCAAGACTAGAAAGTGTGAATCTGACAAAAGACAATGCTGAGCTACTATCATGCTTTAGTAACTTTAGAACCTTGCTGACCATGCTATTCTGCCTGCAGACATCCCAGAAAGCAGGAAGCAGTGGGAACAGACACCACCAGAGACCCTCCTGAGCATCTTAGCAAAAGCAGAGCTGTCTAATGATTCCTTTGTCTATTTTGAAGAAGACATAGGTAGGATTTTTTACTGTAAATTCTACATATTTTTCTTTAGTATATTATTTCTTCTATCATCAGCCAAGAGCATGTGATGAGAACCAACATTTTGAAGCAGTTGACAAACTAGAAAAACATGGGCAGAGTTTCTGCTCTGTCCTGAAGCACTGAGAGGATGCTGCTGTTTTCAAGAGCAGGGAGAAGGGCAAGCCCTACTTACTGGCTATTGCCTTCATATGAAATTCTTTYATTTGCTTGTGATAACCTACTGCTGCCAGCAAGTTGGCAGGAACCACAAACCTGGATCTAGCCCCTGCAACTGTTGAGTTTGGATACCCTGTAAAAAAACATTTATTCAAATACATACRAGGTGACATAAATGACAGTGGTGACTTATATTAAACATGGTCCATGCTTTTACAGCTGACACTGCAATTGATTCAAACTCACTAATACTGCAGCCCCTGTAACCCTAAAGTAACAGGGTGTTTTAAAAATTACATTTATTTTGCACCAACAGAAGTGTGTATTACATTGTTGTAATTTGAACAACAAAACATTTCAAGTATTTACTTACTTCCTATTTACACAAACTTTTATTATTTTCTACTATAGAGCTGAAGGAAAGTTCCTCCTTCCTTACAGAAGGGAGATTAACTTTGTTGCCTCCAAAAGAAACCAAGGAAGATTATTCAGAAACATACTCTGCTGTTGCTGTTGATGAATGTAGACTTGAACCAAGATCAGATGATGAAGACACGTAAGTCAAGCACACCAAAAGAAAAATCCACACAAGTAAACTGTTTTCATGAAATTACATGCAATGCCTAAAGAGTTTTTGTGTTCTCATAAATTCATAAATGGAGAAAACTTACAGGGTCTGCTAATTTAACTTTTAATTCTATATTCCATCACAGCTAATGCTGTTATTAATAATTACATTATGCAGAAATGTACATGACTTAACATGACTTTGCAGCTCTTTTCTGTCTCTTTCCCCCAGAAACAGAAGAAACATCACGTGTGTCACTTGTATATTATTTATAAAGTGCTTAAAAAAGCCCTAGGAGTCCTTGAAAGGAGAAAGGTTTGTAATAAGGTCGTATTTTTAATTAATATAATTCTCTTGTTTTACTGTGCAGAAATTTTGAGGATTCTGAAGATGAACTTAGACATGAGCTGGAAAAATCTCTGGAAAAACTGGCAACTTCTCCAGCAGAGAGAACCATGGAGTCTCATATCTTTTCAATAAATAAAGGTCAAACAGATGAAGAAAAGATTAGTTTACCTCACAAACTACTTGGAAAATCTGAGCATGGTTTAAAAAATAATAATGAGAAATTTGATGTTGACACACATCATGAAAAATAATTAAAATTAATAGAAGGCTGTTATTATTTCATTTTGAAGGAAAAACAAATCAGGGTATTTTCAGATACCTGAACATTGAAAAATCCTCTTCCAAACTGAAATGTAGTTTCATCTATTATTATAAACTACCTGGACACATCTGACAAGTCTTGCCTGAGCACATTTCTGATTGTGTACTGTTTAACCATTTTTGTATCATGTAAGTCTCCTAGTTCATGTATTTTAGTTCCCTAGATATATCAACTCGTTTTAAGAATCTCTCCCAGCTTTCCATAATCAATGTGTACTTGCCAGTACAGCTTTATAATCCATAGTTTCATTTACCCAGCAGTGACCCTACACAGTACCATCAGTTGCTCAGCAGTTTTATGTAGTAGCAGTAAAACGGTTTTTGGCACCATGAGAATTGTGCATTCCCCAGTTTCCAATAAAACATGTAGGTATGCAGGTTCTTCCAACAGTATTTTTCTGTATAAAAAATTGCATACAATCCAAATGAATCTCAAATAAAGGGAGAACTACAATCTATAGTCTGATTTTTGAAAAAACTGCTAAGAGTGATTTATGTTGGAAAAGATCATTGAATCCAATTGTTAACCTAGCACTGCCAAGTCCACCACTTAAYTGTGTCCCTAYATGCCACATCTTCTAAATACTTCCAGGGATGGTGAGTCCACCCCTTCACAGGGCAGTCTGTTCCAATGCTTGACAACCTTTCCTATGTCATATTTTTTTCTAATATCCAACATAAACCTCCCCTGATGCAACTTGCAGTCATTTTGTCCTATCACTTGTTTCCTGGCAGAATAGACTGATCCCYGCCTGGCTACACCCTCCTTTCAGGCAGTTGTACAGAGTGATAAGGCTCCCCCTGAGCCTCCTTTTCTCCAGGATAAGCAACCTCAGCTCCCTCCGCTGCTCCTCTTAGGACTTGTGCTCCAGACCCTTCCTCAGCTCTGTTGCCCTTCCCTGGAAGCGCTCCAGCATCTCAGTGTCCTTTGTGAACTGATATGCCCAAAACTCACCTCAGAATTCACAGTGCCCAAAACTCACCTCAGAATTCACAGTGCAGCCTCACCAGTGCCAAATACAAGCAGACTGTAGATTCTGGAAAACACCAGTTCTGGGTACAAAGGTGTAAGAGACCGTACGGAAGTCCCTTGACTGTCTCACRATCATCGAGATGRMCAGAGACTGAACACCCCAAAAACCCCAAGAAAGGGGAGAAAGGGGGACTTCTACTCAAAGGAGWCCGAGCCAGATCAGGGTGGGATGTCTGCCAAGTTCCAGTTCCCAGGCCGCTGAGTACAACGTGTAAGCTACGGATGGTTGCACCGTTCCTGACGTGAAGGTGGAGGAGAACTGTACAACCCCTGCTGCACACCTTACAGAACAAGACATTCTTTCCCCACCCCTTGGCCGGTTTTTCCATACTTCACAACCCCCTTGGCCTGCTSCCACACGCTTTCGAAAAGACTATAAAGTCTCTCTGAAAAGACCCTGACGAGATCTCCCCGACGGACGTCAACGAATCCATGGAATCCTGACCTCGAGGGACTTGGCGCCGTTGGTAGCTATAACCCCACTCTCTCTCTCTTTCTCTCTCTCTCACCCTCTTCTATCGCAAAAATCCAATAAAATTGTTAATGATTTTGAATATATACTTGCCCCTCATTTCTTTTGCACTCTGAGATTCTGATAACAAACCATCACAACTCCTGCTTGGGTTAAGYGGATYGTGACAAAAGGCTATGAAACAAAAGTGTTGACTTCAAAAAGTATGACTGTGGGTAGACAGTCATGAAACAGGTGAAGTGTGAAAATCCTCAGTAAATAAAAGTGGTGCCTGATAAATAAAATAACTTCCTGGTGTAGATCTTTTACCAAAGCACTGTCATGGTTTGTGAATCCAGAGGGTTTTTAAGTGCATGGTACTCTCATGTAGTTAACATAGAAGCATTTCTTTCCTAGTAAAAAAAAAGAAATCTCTCATATATAAAGCAGACAGCCTGACAKAAAGAAAAGCAATCTCTTTATTGAATGGGATCAAGAGATCTTAGATTAGACATATTTACACATGCCACACATCCAAATATAAAAAGTTAATTTTACTCATTTTCATTTATATACATTTATTTAAATAATGGCTCCACAGATAACAGGAATGTCTCTTCAAAATGCTGGTCAGAAAACCTGTGMACAGAGCGACGAGCATTTTCTCTGACCTCCAATCTTTTCTCAGGAGGCAAAGAGAAGATATAAGCCATGGTCTCAGCATAACCATCCTCATCTTCTGCTAGGAAGCCTGTAACACGTCCTTCATGGGGTACCACGATGTCTAATTTGGGGCCTCCAGAATTGTGAGCCAGGATAACTGTGCCAGCTGCCATACATTCAACTACTCCTGTGAGAGATACAAAACATTTTGAAATGAGTGTGCACATCATACGCTTTTACCTTCTATAAAACACCGGAAAGTTAAACCAACAGTAAAATTCACTACAGGCTGGCATTCCAAATCAGCTGGAAAAACAAAGCGAAAATGGTCTCACAATAAATTTAAGTTTTTCAGTTCTAAGGACTAAAATGATAGTTTCTCTTAAACACATAACACTGAAATTAAGAAATCAGATATAACGTGTTGATTTGTAGTTCCTGTAACATTTCTGATCTWCCTGAGATTACATCACCATTATATATGGTGGAAAAAAAGCTAGATTTTGAAACAAATGTGAAGATAAACATGGAAGGTAGCTCTGTGACAGAACACTGCAACACTGGTTTTAGGGTAGAGTGGCAGTTGCATAAAAATAAAATTAGAGATGAAGGTGACTGTACTCATTTTTTCGTTCGATCTTCGYTCACACTGAAGATTTTAAACATTTGTAAAGATACTGAGAAAAAGGTTGACTATGCATATTTCAATCAGATATTCAGAAGTTCAGTATTTTGCAGATTAACRAATCTTTCTATTTTTTTACAACTCAACAAAAACTAGTAAATCTTGTTATCTCTACATCTGTATTTTTGATGGAAGAAATTTTACTGAAATGACAATCAGTAAGCTTTCCTCAGCCAAAAGTTCTGGGACAGGAACAACATATAATGTATACAGAAACTTCAATTCTCCTCCACAGTTCCAGAACAGACCTCAGAAATGCTGGTTCTTCACACATCTGATTTGACTGTTGTAAATTCCCTCAGCTCAAACACTGCCTACTATAAATAGTGCTCATAAGTTTTGGAATATGATTTTTTGCACATAAAAAGCCTGTCAGATGAAGGTGAAATCCCGCTCAAATTCAAAATCAGTGTGATCGTACCACTTCTAAAAAAAATCTAACTGAACTGTTTTGTGGGAGAAAAAACACCAAGAAGACCTAATTTTCATTATTTTACAATTGCTTCTGAGAGACACTTCAGTAACAATTTTTTTATACCATGTTCCTACAGATCATAAACTACTATTCCTGCTACTCACTTAACTTGTACTTTAATAAAGTTTAAAGACATTCAATGCAATTTAGTCCCATTATAGCATTATAGCRTCCATCTGCTTGGCTACTAACTTACCCAGCTGTAGATTTATAGATGGGCAATCTGACATGCTCTTTCAAGTTCAGGACTCGAACTAATCCAAATAAACTGAATCCCACACCTTAATTCTGAGTCCCAGCTTCTCTCTGGCATTCTGCTCCACGCTACACTGACTGATTTAAGGGCTTGACACATTTGCCCCAGCAGACAAATGCCTTGCCTTGCCTAATGCAAGGAGATGGCCAAAAGTACCTGGTGGCATCTACATGGGGCTAATTTGTACCAGACAGGATCTGTGGGAGACTCATAACCCTGAAACAGCAGCTAGAGCCCCATGACACACACCAGACATTTCAAACAGCATTTGAGGCAGGTGAAACACAACCTCCAAGATGGATGTCTACACATGAACTGTTTCTAAGCTCTCCCTGCAGTCAGTGGAGCCAATGGGGCACAATTTAAGGTGCTGAAAGAAGCGCCTGCAGCTTCTTGAAGCTCCAGAAGTCTGGCAAACCTAACACAAGAACGATAGGTTGACCCATGACCTTGCAGAGCAATGCCTGGAGGTCAGCAGGACTTTCTGGGCAGCACAGATGGGACTAGCTAGCTCTGTGTTCAGCCGACCAGAGGATGATCAGAATTAACTGTGYGACTACAGCACTTCAGCTTGCACTACAGTAGCACCTAGTGGTGCATCACCTGCACCACACCTGCACTGGTCCTGCAGGCTTTATGGCAGCTACACTGCCTCCAACGGGAACAGGAGCTGGACACCTGCTTGGTAAGCAGACCTCTATGCTTAGACACTTAGGAACAAACAGCTGAACACTCCTGAAATGTACTGACCAATGCCGAAGTGCTCATTCCACATGGTATGCAGGCCGATGGTGGCCTCAGCCAGGTGTCTCTTCAGCTCCTCAAAGGGAATGTTTATCCTGAACACCACATCGTCACTAACTCCCAGATCTTCACACAGACATTTCAGCTTATTGACACGCTCTTCATCTTGCTGGTTACGACAGCCGCCAATTAAGATCAGCTTCAGTGATGGCTGCTGTCCCACTCTCTTCTCTTTCAGCAACTTAGCAAAGGCTCTGATTTGCAAAGGATGATCTTTTTCAGGCCTGAACTGGCTGACAGAAACAATGGAATATTCACTGGTGCTCTTTTCCACTTCCAGTGGAATATCCAGGAAAGTCTGAACATCGCATGGTGGATACACAACACTAGTGCAAGCCCCCACTCTCCAGAGGGAAAGGATGTGATTCAGTGTCCAAGTAGAATTCACCATGACCACATCACTGCAGGAACCAACCAACCCGTACATGAAAGCGAAGAAGTAGTAGTAGACAAGTTTAAATTTGCTAAAGAAAGGACTGCTTGTAATGAACACAGCATTGTTAAACCTGGTATCCTGATTCCTCACRACAGAGAGCATATCAGTGCTGATAGTGGGATAATGAACATAGCATCCAACGCGACAACCTCCCAGGTATTTGAAGAGGGGAATTGTGAAGGCATAACCCATTGAGTCAATATAAATATCAGGAGCACACTTTAGAAGAGCTTCCCAGCCGAGAAACACTGATCCTAAACTTTGTCCCAGCAAAGTGAAGTGAGGATAAAGAGATGCTTCCACAAGGAAGCGTTTTTCTAGAAATACAAACTTCACAGGATGAATTAACTTAATATTGAATCTTCTGAAAGCACCTTCCACTATTTCTTCTCCAGTCACATCTCTATCACCAGTGTAAACAACACATGTTACATTTCTGTACCTGTAAGAATAAAGAAAAAGAATTTCATATATTATTCTCTTCATATTTTTCAGCAAGAAACTAAAATATAATCCACTTAAAAGCACTCAAGAAGAATGTGAGAACAAATGCCTGGCTATGAAATTATTTTAACGAAATTATACTTTTCCTTATACTTCCACAGGTTTTTTCTGATCTGCATAAAAACATATGGCTGAGAGGAGGAATATTTTAATTTGAGTAAAACATAAAAGGAACTCAACATTATTCTACCCACTGCAAAACACCCTGCCCTGCATTAGGAGATACCTGCCTAGTGCATAGCATGAACAAAATACAAATGATGGCAAATCAATGGATGTGCCCATGTTAAATCCACTTTAAGCATTAATTTGTTTTGCCTCCTGTCTTTATACCAACAGGCAAGTATAAAGATGATCAGTTACCTACTGAGCAGTTATGACTATACAAAGTTCCATATCAGCAGTGGAAAACTGAGGAGGAAGGAGGGGTTTTCTCAAGGAAAGAAAGGAAAAACGTGAGAGGTGCCATAGCAGGAAATACCAAAATCTAAAGGGATGCAGTAGAATGTAGCCACATGAAACTCAGACGTAAAATAAAATGTAAGACCATTAGATTATTTAAATATGTAAAATGCCAACATATGCATAAATAATACAAGCTGAGAATGAAATATGGTTGATAAACACCTATGCTTACTTTTTCTGAAGTGTTCTTATGGCACACCACAAGACTCTTTCCCCTCCACCTCCTGCATTGCAATATGGGTGAAAAAAGGCCACCAGCAGTGGCCGCTTCCCATCTGTTCCAGCTGAGATCAACTGTTTCTTCCTTTGTATCCAGAGCCGTAMTCCCCATAGCAGTACCACCAAGCAGACACACAGAATTCCACTTAGAAATAATGCAGGGAGTAACAGTGAGCACAGCAATCTGAAACAAGCCGGAAATTTTAAATATATAATTGCTTTAAAGAAATACTATTTATGACATTGAGCATGAAGGGCATAAAGGTAGAGCTACGAGTTTGAGTTATTCTAATTAGTTATTTCTTGAGTTATTCTAATTGAAGAAATCATCATTTGTGTATGACTTTGACAATTTGAAATAAAATCACTACTCTGCATTGTGTATCAAAAGATCTCTTTTCCCCTGCTGTTACCTTGCAACCATTTATTTTGTTTATTCATGCCCTATGTGTTATCTATCYCCATGCGCTCTACACACACCACAAAGATTACATGCCCTTAGCAACCTGGCAATACACTAGCAGAATAACTTCTAAATAGATTTTTAAAGAATTTTTCAGTCCTATCTCCTGTTTGGCTCGCTCTACTGTGAACTGCTTCGGTGACGGGTTACTGGGGCAGGCATTTCCCATTSCAGCCTGCACTTCCCATTCCCCAGAGGCACAAGCAGCGATGCCAGCTGTCCAGAGCAACTCTGTGCAGTGTCTCAGTGTAGAGAGACMCGTTTGCTCAGGTCTCTGAGACACTGACAGGGGTACTCCCTTGGTTTTCCATCGCCTCCCTAACAGCTCTCCAGGCGCAGGAAAGGGAGCTTTCCCGGCCCGGAGCGTCACAGGGACAGCGCCTGCTTCCTGCCGCTGTGCTAATAAGCCTTGGGATAAACAGCGTTTACCGGCCGTTCCCGTTTACCAAAGGAGCGACCAAGGCGTCACGACCGGCACGTAAGGAAGCCCTTTCATTTTCGGCCGGGAGCGGCGGAAAAGCACATTAACCCATCGGAGCCCGGCGGCGCAGCGCGGAGCCAGGCAGGGCCGCCCCAGGGGACGGGGGAGCGCGGCCGGATCCGGGCCTGGGCCGCCTCCCGCCCTCCCTGCCCGCCGCCAGGACGCGCCGCCCCCGCCCTGGTACCTGAGGAGCCCACACARGCACAGCCCTCCCGCCACCATCCTGGGCAGCGCCGCGTCGCCGTCCCAGCGGAAAGGGCGGATCCCAGCCCCCGAAGGGGCGGGAGCAGCGCCGCAGCCGCTCTCTCCGCCTTCTCCTTCCATCGCCTTTCCCGCCTCCTTCTCCGCCTCCTCCTCGCCCGCCCACCCAGTAAACACAGAACCCGTGGCGCTGTGAAAGGAGCGGTGTGTGCTGGGTTGTTGGGACCCCTTTGTATTTCCCGGAGCTGCCGGAAGAGAACGGACAAGAGCACAGCGCTGGCACAGCTTAGTCAGACAACACCTGCGGCCCAGTGGCGCCCCTGTGTTCCTCCGGGAGRATGGGAGGGAGGGCGCTCTGGGGAGCCGGAGGCCGCCCGGCGTCACGGGATTCCTTCTGCATCCGCCACATCCCCGTGTTTTCCTGTGTGAATGCTGGCCGTTCTCTTTGGCCAGGAGAGGAAGGTGCTCGATGTGGTGGCTTGCCGCCCTGCCGTAATCTCCTGCTGGAGAGGGAGCTGCCTGCGACTGTGTGCAGGTTAATGTGAGGCCGAGGGCAGGATGTCCAGCACATTCTGCACCTGGCACTGTCTCCAAAAGGATCCCATGGACACGCTCACGGGGACAGTTTCCAATGGCGGTTTTGTCTAGCTAATAAACCTTTTTCCTTATTTTGTCTTGATTAAAATATGCATAGGCCAGAGGGTCAGTATAGCAGTAAGACTGAATGTGCTGTTTTTTTCAAAATACTGTTGATGATGTGTCAGTTTGCATCAAGACTTCATATTTCTAAATTGTCTTCCTTGGAACAACATAAGGAACTAATCCTGCTCTCTGGGTCCTGGGAAGCATTGGGTGAAAATAGAAAGTTCTCTAAATTAGGAGAGGCTTAGGCAGAACAATCCGAAACATTTCTGATCTCCTGTCACATTGCTCTTTTTCCCCCACCACATTCTCAATTTTAAAATAATAAAATGGTTTATCTGGCAAATTTGATCCAGATAACTCATTCATCAGTCTCTTGCAGAGTTGAGGCTGTCCAAAATTTGAAAGAGTGTCAAATCCTGTTTCTTTGAACAAGACCTTTCCAGAACCTGTGATCCTTCACCCTCTTTGAGGTTAGCATGATCTGTTTTATCTTTGAGCCACTTGTGTATTTTGAGATCTTGTAAGTGTTAGGGATACTCATGGAGGTCATCCTGTGTCTTCTGCATGAGAAGAGTGCAGGTTGGAAATTGATGAATTGTTAGTTTGTGTGGCCATTGCTATAGCCAGAAGCAGAGAGACAAAGTCTCTGCTGTAGTGGGAGTAAGAAAAGTCCACCTTAATAGTGGTTATTTGGTTCTCACCAGCCCAGATTGAGTTTTCCACTTAGGAGGACTCACCACGTGGGAGTGGAACTGGAACTGTGTCAAGCCCTCAGGAATTTATTGGTTATTTTACTGGTGTTTTTAATTAAAATATTTTGACTGTCCTAAATGCTACTGACTATAGRTTTAACCAGGACATCTCTATCTTTGTGTAAGCAGATAAATTGGAAGAGGTCTGTTGTAGGCCCAGTGGCCTAACATTTMATTTCTGAAACAACAGCTCTAATTATTACAGGCATTTTTTTTTCTCCCTTAACCTTCTTTCTTTTCCCTGAGAGAGAAGTTGCCTTAAAAGCATGTGAAATGTTTACAGAATAGATCTCTGCTGGGTGTACATCTCTCAACTCAAAAYACCTTTCTTCAACATTTGGAAATTATTGCCTGAGTTCAGAGAAGAGGCAAGTTATTCAAGGGAACAGGAGTCCAGACTGTTTTAGATGATGAAATTTATGTTTCTCCCCACTGACTCGAAAAGGAGTTCATGGTGACTCTTTTGGAAGGTATGAATCTTAGGCCAAGGTAGGTATGAATCTTAGACCAACTTTTTTAAGAAGTTGAAGGATCACAGGTCACAGCTTAATTAAGGTGAGACTTCAGTAATAACGATGAAGAGTTCCTGGAAGCAAGAAGACAAATTAATGAGGGAGACACCTACATACCTGGCTTTTGAGTTTCACTTGCTTGTTTAGAGAGAAATCTGCATGATGGTGGGAGTATCAAAAAGATTTCTCAGCTCTAATAATTTATAGTTCATGGAATCACATGAACTATCTGAGGTGGGKAGGAATTGGATGGATGCAGCCAGAGAGTTGTGGTCAGTRGCTCMATGTCTTGGTGCTGCACCTGCATTGGGGCAATCCCAGACAGAAGAACAGAGTAGAAGAGCTCGTTGAGAGAAGCCCTGCAGAGAAGGTGTTAGTATTCCCATGGATGAAAACATGGACATGACCTGGCAATGTGTGATTGCAGCCCAGAAGGCTAACAGCATCCTGGTCTGGATCAAAARCAGYRTGGCCAGTAGGGTGAGGGAGGGGRTTCYGCCCCTCTATTCCACTCTGGTGAGACCCCACTGCAGTGCTGCATCCAGCTCTGGGGTCCCCAGCACAGGACAGACATGGACCTGTTGAAGCAAGTCCAGAAGAGACTGCTGAAGATGATTAGAGGGCTGRAATATSTCTCCTATGAAGACAGGYTAAGAGTGTTAGGGTTGTAAGGCTGGAGAAGGCTCCAGGGAGACTCAGCCTCACTGCAGCCTTTGAGCACTTAAGAGAGGGCTTATAAAAAATAGGGAGGGCAACTTTTTACATGGACAGATAGTGGTGATAGGACAAGGGGCAACAGTTKTAAATTAAAAGAGGAGAGATTCAGATTACATGTTAGGAAGAAATTCTTTATTATGAGGGTGGTGAGGTATTGCAACAGGCTGCCCAGAGGAGTTCTGTGTTCCCGTCCCTGGAAGTGTTCAAGGCTGGGTTGAATGGGGCCCTGAGCAACCTGATCTAGTGGGTAGCATCYTTGACCACAGTAGATGGGTTGGAACTGAAGGATCTTTAATGCCCCTTCCAAYCCAAACCTTTCTATGATTCTGTGACCTCTGGAGGTCATCTCCTCCAACCCCCCCTGCCCAAAGTGAGTACCTATGGCAGGTTGTCTAGGACTGAGTCCAGATGAGTTTTAAATRCCTCCAAGGATGGACACTGCACAACTTCCCTGTGTAACYTGTGCCAATGCCTGGTCACCCACAGTGAAGAAGTGTTTCSTGATGTTCAGGGGGARCTTTCCATATTTCAGTTTGTACCCRTTGCTTCTGGTCCTGTCACTAAACACCACTGAAAAGAGCTTAGTTCCTCCTTGTACCTTTCCATCACACACTGATGAGATCACTCTGAGTCTTCTCAAGGCTTGAACAGTCCCAGCTCCCTCAGCCTTTCCTCACAGAATTCTCCCACGGTCTTAATCATAGTTATTTTGGGGTTTTTTCTTAATCCCCCTAGTGGTAATTAAAACCAGATGTATTAATACTTCCAATATTTTTCTGTTCACTTTTCATTAATCACAGAGYATTCAGCTGCTGATGTCAGCAGTATGAAAACTGTGTTGCTGACAGACTTGCAGATTGCAAAGTTTGCCTTTAATGTGTGAACATCCAGCACAGGCTAATTGAGTCATCGACACTTCACAGCTTCATGCATATGTAGCAGAGGATATTGTATGCATGCATTTAGGGTACTGACAAGAACTTTAGCAGGAGCAGTGATGAACTGTCAGTGGTGTTCCCACTCTAGCAGTTCAAAACCTTTTCTGTAGAAATTCCCCAAGGCTATCATGCCACTGAAAGTAAACTAGGCTTGTTATGAAGTCAGTTTTGTTTTCACCTTCCCAGAGACRTACCAAGTTTTTAATCTTTTGTTGCTTTTGTAAGCATTTTTTGTCCTAATTGCTTTCCCTATTAATTGCTTTTCCCTATTTCCCTCCTTACTCTAAAGAAAGCCCATGCAAACGGGCTTTCTAAAGTGGACAGWATTTAGAATAAATAGCCAAATCCACTCACTCTGTGTTCTTCCCAAGCCTACAAGGCATTTGAGGTTTTAAAGTGTATTTTTGCAACTCTCATTCTTGAGAGTACTCCACATACGAGTAATTTAGTAGACGAAACCACTGCCAAGTTATAATAGAAAGAAACTAGATTAATTCTGTGTGAGGATATTCATATGATAGTCATGTGGTCTGYTATACTTTCTTGTACAGTTATGTACTTTCTTTCAGAAATATTCACTGTGTAGCACCAAGTCTCTTGTTCAGGGCTGCTATCTGAGCTACCAAAATGCCTGGGACTGTTTTTAGTAGAAGGAATCTCAGATCATTCATATACACAGTAAGTTTTTTCACTTTTGTATGTGTCTTATGGTAGGCTGTTGAACATTGCAGTACATTTATTCTTCATTGCGTAGTAACAGGAARCAGAAATAAAGTTGCACCAGTTTTGTGCTAAATATTTGTGAAGCAAAACCCAAGCATTGGTAATAAATTGTGGCATTGATATACCTAGGGGAAATCACTGTGGGGTTGTTTTCACTAATACCTTGTCATATTAAAGTTGCTAAATATAAGCAATTCTAGTATTTTTTTTTTCACTGTCAATTTTGAGTTATGTGTTCTAGGGCACGGGTGTTCACACCATGTATCTGTGAGCAAAAGCTGCCCTGTTTTTTTTGGCAGAAGCAGTGAAGAATTAAGCACTTGTATCTACAAAGAATTTTTCCAGGAGAGCCTATAAAACACAATTATTTGTATCACCAAGCAATTTAAGGAGGTTGAACCCATGTCTTTTGATTAACAGAAGTTTATTTTCACGCAAATTTTCCCAGTTGGGCAAGGAAAACAAGAAGTTCCAGTAGATTGTGACAGTGTGTTTTAAACTCCCATGGACTCTAAATGTGTGCCAGTTTTTAGGGTGGCTGAACGAAACATTTTCAAGCAACTTAAAACACCGAAAGAAATGAGATGGCAAATGATGTACMCCTATTTGTAACATCATTGAGCTTGCAAAATAACATGTGGACTCATCTTAAGTCCCAGSTTTTTGAGGTGCAATTTTGGGATTCTTGAGGAGCTAGGGACCAATTTTTGAGTGTCTGTGATAGCAGACCCAAACCCTTTTTGCTTGTCATTCTCCTTTATGCAGTGAGCAATAAATCTGTGACCATCTGCACCTAATTAGGACATGAAGGGGATCATGAAGGACC